AGCGTCTCTTGTAAAGTAATGGAGCATATCATATACTCGCATACTGCTAACTTCTTAACATCTGTAAATTTCTTTCACCCAAGTCAGCATGGTTTTCGCAAACATTACTCCTGTGACACTCAACTTGCTCTTTTTCTGCATGATCTACACGTAAACCTGGACCGTAACATTCCGACTGACACAATATTCTTAGACTTCGAAAAGGCATTCGACAAGGTCCCCCATGGTCGTCTTTTATTAAAATTATCCCGTCTTAACATCCACCCCTGTGTTTTAAACTGGATACGAGGATTTTTAACCAACCGTCAGCAATTTGTTTATGCTAACTGACGCTCTTCATCTCTAACACCCGTTCTTTCAGGCGTACCGCAAGGTACGGTACTTGTTCCCCTCCTCTTCTTGATATACATTAATGACCTCCCCTGTAATATTTCTTCTCACATCCGTCTATTCGCAGATGATTGTGTTGTTTACCGCGCAATTAATAACCCCTCTGATCATTCCATACTACAATGTGACCTCACCCGCATACAAAACTGGTGTAACACTTGGCTCATGTCCTTGAATGTAACTAAAACTGTGTTAATGTCTATTCACCGTCGTCAACATCACGTTGTTTATAACTACAGCATCAATAACAACCAGATTACTATAGTCGATTCATTTAAATATCTTGGTGTGTTCATCTCGCGTGACCCAACTTGGACCTGTCATATTAATTACATAATCAATTCTGCTAATCGTACTCTACGGTATATACGCCGTAACCTTTCGCTCGCTCCTCCTTCTATTAAAAAAGTTGCCTTCGAAACCTTTGTCCGGCCAAAGCTAGAATATGCTAACGCGATTTTTGACCCTCACCACAATAACCTCACTTACGCCCTCGAATCTGTCCAGAACCTAGCGGCACGGTTTATACTGTCTAACTATTCATACACATCAAGCATCTCGGCACTAAAAGCAGATATTAACTTATCCGATCTGGCTAAGCGCCGCAAAATCGCACGTCTTAACCTTTATCATAAATTCTTCCATTCTTTGCTTTTAGATAACCCATACATCAGAAGAGCCCACCGCATTTCCTGCAGCAGTCACTGTAACGCAGTATACCCACCGCAAGCCCATACTGTGACCTTTCAGCAATCGTTTTTCCTGCGCACAGCCCAAGACTGGAATGACCTGCCCACCGAAGTCACCACCATCATCGACACCCAAGCATTTAAACGGCTCATCGAAACTATCCCATCATAACTACCATTATATTGTTAGCCTTTGTAATACCCACTCCCTCATGTAATATCCCAACCGGGACCTTTGAGGTAATAAAATGAATGAATGAATGAATGAATGAATTTGAGTAGTCCCATACTCTTTCACGAACGACAGATGTCATCCTCAAAGATTGGTCGCATATATAACAAGCATCCCCTAAAGCTGGTTTCACCGCACGAGGCGTGCTGTAGAAAACCAGCCCTGCCCAGGTGGCGCGCCGAAACCGCTCACGTGTCGCCGCCAAACGAGTTCACGGAAAAAACTCCTAGTAGGGCAGGGCCACTGAGCCACGTTAAAACGCAAACGGAACTTTGCAAGGTGTGTTATCCGCTGTGTCTACTTTTGTGCCGTGTGTTTGCGTCTGCAAAATTTACCACTCAGGACATTGAGTTTACACCCATTGTCGAAGGCAACAGATTGGGAGCTGCGAATAAAGAGTAGGTTGATGTAGCGAAGCAGCAGTGATGTCATGGCACTGGTTAACTTTCAGTGCGGCTTCAGCAGTGTCGTGTTCGTGGAGGGGTATACTGACGCAACAGTGCGCTGTCGAAATGATACAAGCTCAGCAGAAAAAAATTCTGTTCACGGTGAGGAGGAAACTGTGTGGCAGCAAGTCACATTCCGAGTTTTCAGCCAAATGCCACTCGCAAGCCAAATAAGCATCATGCGACGTGAAAGTATACAGGTGTGTGTTGAAATGGCACATAAAAGAGCTTGGCTCAGTTTGCTGCCTGCTTGTTATTTTGTCGCTTTCAATAGTAACTATTATCTCATTATAACTGAGGATGTGTTCGTCCAAGTGGCAGCTCATTTGAGCGATCGACATTTACATAATCAGCACTTACAGGTTTCGTGGCGTGTTAATTAACACACGGGTGAAATGCCGTTTCTTGTCGCACTTTTATTTTGGATGTTTTGAACAGCGCCAAAAGTAGAAGACTCGTGCATAATCAGTAGTTAAAGTTATCTAATAGTTCAACTCACAGGTGATAACGTCTTTCGTATCGCACTTTTTATCGGGGTGTTACGAACAGGGTATGAGTACTGAAATTGGATAACTCTAACAAAACCGGTCACAGATCTCGTAGCGTGTTCACGCGCTGGTGAGGAGACATTTTTTTAGCCATTTTATTTGCGGTGCTTTAATCTTCATTTCACTTTCTTCGTAGCTGACGGCAAAGCACGAGGTGTCCGCGCCAACTTGCACTTGCAAGACCGGCGTGAGTGGAAATTGCAAACGCATTGCAGTGGTTGCATTTTGGGTGAACGATGCCGACTCGCCGTCGTCCACAGACCGATCGCATGCTTGGGATCGGCCATCATCTAAACCTGACACGTCAGTGAAAGGGCTCGCTGTGGAACTTTTTTTGAGATAGGCATAAAATGCATCCGTGCCATGCGCTCATAAGATACTCTGTGCGCGAAAAGTGTTGAATCGCTTCGCCTACGCGATTTCTTCAGCATTTACTTCTTGCTAGCATGTCTAGAACTTTGTCCGTAGGCCCCGCTGCGGTGGTCTAGTGGCTAAAATACTCGGCTGCTGACCCGTAGGTCGCGGAAGCGAATCCCGGCTGTGGAGGCTGCACTTTCAGTGAAGGATAAAATGCTGTATAGGCCCATGTGCTCAGATTTGGGAGCACGTTAAAGAACCCCAGGTGGTCGAAATTTCCGGAGCCCTCCTCTACGGTGTCCCTCATAATCATATGATGCATTGAACCCTACATATCAATCAACTGTGCACGTAGATATTTGATGAAATTAAAATGAGCAATTATCAGCGTTACTTTACATACTTAAGCCGTTACGTGATTGCTAAGTAAAAGCTTTGTCGCGTTTTACAGATCCGGCGTTGCCGCTGCTCTTTCTCATATGACGTTAACGGCAATGAGTAAAATATGATGTTTGGGTGGTACCCCTCTAATGTGTGGCACATTAAACGCGACAGTACCTTCTTTTTTTGCTTTTTTTGTGGGGGGGATGGGGGGGAGCCCTTCAGCGTATTCGACCGCAGTAGCCATCGCAGTCCTACTAGTAGGAGTTTCGCAACAAGGCCTCCAGGGCGGTGCAACGTGTTGAAACAAACTGCAGCGCTAGAAGACCACATAAAAAGAAAACTGCCTTGCATTGTACACGTAGTAAAACAACGGGTAGAATTTTTGGGTTTGCGTAGCGGAAAACCTGTCGCAAAGCTAGAGACAATTACGTGACGGCCTGTAAGTCGGCATTGACTGAACTCAGGCCCACTTATGAAACTGCAGATGAACATTGTGTGGCCAAGCACATTTGCTATCTTTTTCTACAAAACTTTTCGCAACAATGAGGACGATATGCGCTGGTAGAGACCACAAGCGAGCTTTGTGATGACTAGTTACTGTGACGTACACGACAACCACGATGAATTGGGTGGAGTCGTAATAAATTGGCGCAATGGCGAATCTAAGTATTGGAGGATTTGCAGAACCTATGCGAAACTATGACATCTCGTAGGTTTAGTCTGATGTCGGGAATAGGCCAAATACATTTAGAGACCACGGATAAATCGAATTTATCGGAAGAAGTGTACTACGGTATAACGCATGGCAGTACTGAATGCTGTAGGTCTTGTTCTCGCTATTTATCCTACACGGATATGTAAAAGTGCACTTTTTTATTATTTTCTTGTTGCTGTAGATTGCATGCTCGCACACGTTCTTCGTCAACGAAAGATAGTTGTCACAGGTTTGTAACCAAACGAACCAAAAAAAAAAAAAAAAGACGCGTATGACATGTCGACACACTGCAACACGTGTTCACCGCCGTGTGTGTGCCTCCACATAGTCAATCATATAATCAACAGAGAAAAAAAACTTCACGACTATTATTTATAACAATAGTCCAAGAATTACTGAGCTTCTCCTCGACCTATTCACTGCTTTCGTATCAGACAAATGCGCACCCTATTACGAACTCGCGACACGCTGACTACCCCTGCGAAGCATTTTATAGGGACCGTTGACTGACAACGGGCCACAAGCGGGAACTAGGGTTCTAATAAATTTTCTATCGATTTGAACTGTACAACGTTTCTGAAATTTCGCAACTTTCATTATTTAGGAATCGGAAGAGTGTTTTGTGTACAGTTTATACGCTTTCCGAAGCCGCTAGCTGTTCCAGCGCCAAAATTGTGGCTGCGCTCGCCTCGCAAAAAGGAGCTGACATATTTTGAAGTCGAGCAGCTGTTTACTTTTTTTTAAGGGCGTGAAGGCCTCCCCTAAGGACAAACTTTTTTTTTTATCAACATCGGTAGTTTCAAGAAACACCTTAATTTAGCACAACAGCACTTGTATACGCGTCAGCGCACGGAAAGACGTCTTCACGTCGACACAAAGTATTTAGCAAGCTGCCAATCGTAAAAGACTGCGCTTTTAAAGATGTTTTCAGAAATTGTTTACCGTCAAAGCGCACGTGCAGAGAACGTTGAGACAGAAAAAAATAAACACAGTGACCTAGTCACGCTACGTAATACTATCGCCTAAAAAAAGCACGCTTTTCGTAGGCATAATGGCAAATTTTAAGCGAGTGCCATTATATTTATGAGCCCGGGCCACCATCTTGCATTCGTGGTTGGGTAAAACGTTGATACTCATGTAGATATTTGCGATAAGTTGACTCCAAATACAGCGTAAGAGCTATAAACTCGAACCACTTGCGACTGTTGCACGTCGAGCTGAGACAATTCCAGTCGCACATATGTCAAGAAGAAAAAAAAAAGACCACTTTTATTTATAATACTCCGTATGTACAAAACACCTCATCGGTACAAAAGAAAAGTGTTCCACTGATGCCGTACCTAGCGACAACATCCCGGGAGATCGGATTAATTTAGGTGAATTCACAGCGTTATTGCTTCCATAAGAAAAAAGTGGTATGTGAAAAACAAACAAACTGAAAATAAAGGAAGGAAGAGCTCGTATCACAAGTGTCTCAGTTACGAAAAGTAAATTTGTTCAGCGGCGCGATGGTGCGCCGTCGTAAATGTGAAAGAAGGCAAACGGAGGTGACTTTGGGCTGATACGAAGGACACAGATCACGGTGAACGCGCGCACAGGAGGAAGAGCTGGGTCCCCGCGTTCACTTGTTGTACTTCTCTATGAGCTTGGAGGCGTACTGGACGTAACCTTCCTTGGCAGCGTCTTGGCTGGTGCCTGCACACAGGAAAACGAGAGGGCACGCGCGGAAGGTCAATTGGGAACTGCACAGCCTTCGGAGAGAAGCGTAGGCAAAGAAGCGATGCGCACTTTGCCGAAATATTATTTCGAGTGATTCCGCAAGCACGAAAAAAAGGAAACACCGCGATGAAATTTCGTTCTCAAGCGATGAAAACGATACTCCGTATACAGTACATTAGTTTCAAACTCGGTAAGAAGACCAAAGTAAAAGAAATTTCTGACTTTCAGTGCTTTAAATAATGTTGAGAGATTTCCAAAGACTAATGATATAACTATCGCTCACATCACTAAAAAAAGTACAAAAGAAGTATGAAAACAAAGCAGTGATTGCCAAACTCGCCATTGAGCAAGTACCTGCGAGTTGTTCACCTCCATTTTCATTTGTTTGCGCACCAGCCTCAGGAGTTCTGCTCATTGTTGGAGCATGCACACACTGGGCGACGGAGAGAGTTTTCAGTGATACTGAGTAATTTGCACTCACGTGCTTTCCTTAGGGCATTATGTCCGCGTACGCGGGCGCAGGTGGCTAAGAGAATCTAAAGTTCATTTTTTTAGACTTTAATTTCACTTTATTGCTAGTATGGAGCATGATTCGGTAATCGAAGTAGATGCACAGGTAGGCGCATTACCGAGAAGGCACATTACAGTACACGAAGCTTACAGTTCACGAAGTTTGAGCAACAGCCAGTTATTCCACATATCGAATACCTTAGTTCAGTGTTCCACTGGCTAAGATAAGGAGGCGAGAATCGACTGCATCCTAAGAATACACCATTTATATTTTGGCAACGTTTTGCGTGACATCAAAATTTAGGACGCACACTGCTACTGAATATAATACGGCGCGGACGATAAGTCCGTGCAATGCGGACTACACGTCTCGTGGAAGGGTAATTGAAGCGAAAAAATTTCGAAGAAATATTTTAATCGTCATTTGCACAGCGTATCTGAGAATATGCAGCTCGGCAAAACTAAATGCAGTCCAATATATTGCAGCGGTTTCGCACTGCAGCCCGTTAGCGCGCCCAGATCTGACCATCTAGTATGACAGCTAAGAACAAAAGCAATTTAAAAACGAAAAACAATAGAATAGGTGCAAAACCCCTCCGATCAGTTCTATTTTTACTGACGTCTCTGTCTACTCACAGTGAGAACGACATTTACAGGAAACGTAATTAGGCCGCAGTGACTAACAATTCGCGGGCATTTGACAGTGTAATAATGACAAAGCAATATTTAAATGGCGCACAGCTGGAGTAACGTCAATTATAGGGGAACCGCAAGCCTTTCCGTGAGAGCTAAGGCGAAGTAGCGTACGATACGATTGCATTAGATCAGCCCCTTTCTTTCTCTTTTGTTATTTTGTGTTGTTTTCTCTCTTTTGTTAATTGCAACGTTCTGCTTCTGACATTTGAGCGGACGATTGCGAAGAGCGGAGAGATTGCCGACGCACATATCTGACACGCTCTTCAGAATCGAGGAAGAAGAGAAATTCGTCACGTAAGGGGGAAAAAAAGGTCTTAATTATCGGAGTCCCATTGTAATGAACATCTCATACAGATGAAAAACATCGGAAGCTTCGCCTTATACTCTCCACATTCTCCGTTCAAAAGGGGTAGCTCTGTAACCGCGACAACGTTTTTATTGGCCACCATCGCACTTACTGCGATGACGTATGTGTGTCTTAATATAAAATGTGATAATCTAGCGGCCCCACAAAGCTCAATTTTAGACCACTCAGAGCATAAAAGGTCGGCGGACTTTTGAGATAAAAACAAACGAAGAAAAGTGTACAATTCTGCACTACAACAATCAAATCGATTTAATGATTCTGTAACTTTATGATTAATCTTTGAATAGGAACCACATTGCCGTCCCGACGAACAAAGCGGAAACTTCGTTCTGACTATATTTCATATTTTAACTTTTTTCAATTAGGCGTAACAAATGGAAATATTGCTCCGTATACATTCGGTACTGAATTCGCAACGTTCGCTTCAATGCGATGAAGGTATTCCTTTTGAGTCGGTTCATCGGTTGTGAAAACAGTAAAAAAAAAAAAAAAAAAAAACATTTTGCACACGTTCTTTAGGACAAGAGAATCGGAACCACATTCTTGCGCGAGAGTACCACAGTGCGCCGAGTCTGGCTTCGTTCGTGACTTGGCACACGGACGCATCCACACGAATCGCACATAGAATGCACAAACACTATCATCTTTATCCCCCCCCCCCCCATCTCAACTCGTAGCTGTTCTTCGAGCAGCCTCCTTCATTTTACGAATCTGCGGAGAAGGACGAGTGATATCCTGTACCGTATCTCAATTTTGTAACAAAGGGCCAAGGTGTGCCCCGTCGCAGCACGTCGTCCGCATGTTTTGTACTCTACAGATGATTTACGTGCTTACGTCGCGTGCAAGAAATGAACTGGCAAGACACGTTAAGACCCGCAAAACTGGTGAAAAACGCCTGCACCGCATACGCGCTCGCTATACAGCGCATTGAGTACCATCACTGTGTCACACGAGTGTTTTCACACAAAGAGAGTTAAATATACTCCGAAAAAGGTGTAAAGTGGGGGGAGAAACACGTAAACCCCCAAAAAAGACTTCTCGGTGTTTCGTTAGTTCGCAGAGCCTGGGAGCTGTGAGATTACGCTAAACGCACCTGCACCCGCTCGTGGCAGAGTACCAATACTTCGTCATATATGGCGCACTTACACGTTTCTTCAAAAGAGATAGAAATACACTGAAAAGGGAGTTGAATATTTGGGACAGGCGAATATTATCTCAAAAGTTTCCATCACTCGCTTAGTTATTGGAGCCTGAAGTGTCGGCTACAAAACGCCTGCAATGACTTTTCCATAAGACGGTTCCTTTAAGTCGTCACTCAGTCAACCTCGACATATACAAGAGAAAATAAGGTACGCTGTCAGCACGTACGTATACAGACTGCACGTACACGTGTGATCGGACGACATCGTTCGGCCGTGAGAGGGAAAAAAAAAAAAAGACCCAAGCGGGAAGGAAAAGTAGCGCTCAATAAACCGAAGACTACGCTGTATAATATAAAAAGCGGCGGCGTTATGACGTGGAATTGCCGACGAGGAAACACACGGCATGCGGCGAGTCAGGCCTTTTTATTTTTTTCTTTTACCGCTAAAAAGGCAGCACGATAACTCCATTATACACGCGAGACCGGTTATATTGGGAATCACATGGCTGGTTCTCGTCTTTAACAAAATGTACGTCATCGTGCCCGAGGGCGAACGTTCTATTTTTTTTTTTTTGAGCGCGAAGGATTTTAAAGCGGGCGGGAAAAGTATATAATACGAGACTAAGGAGTATCACAATGTGCGTATTGTACTGGAATGAGTTCGCGCAGCACAAAATGGCCAAAGGCGCCGTGTATACAGTTTTATTGCTTCCTTAGCTTCGGGCCAGTAAAGACGACGCAGGGAAACGCAGTTCTGCTTAGCTTATATATTCTCTCAATTTTACAACCACGTAACACCCTAGCGGAATATCACCATCAAAAGTAACCTCTTTATCAGTTGACTTTTTTTTTTACTTTCTCCATTCTCTTTTTTTGCTTATACATGTGACCTAATTAAGAACATAGTTCAAAAGTCAGCACTTCTTGCGCTGCTTTTACATAATTAAACATCACTTTAAACAACAGACGACGCACCGTTATAAGTGTAATGAAACATCAGAATTGTGGAGTCAATCGGCCAGCACAATGAAGTGATTGGATAAAGATCTAGACAGACAGACAGAATTCAACGTCCAATACGTAAACTAAACGTCAAATATTCTATTTGACGTACAGTCTCCGGTCACACTTTCGTACTCTGCACAGTTTTTTTACGGCGAGAGCGTTCCAATATGTCGGAGTCTTAAGATAAAAAAAGAAGGGGGGAATAGGAGGGCTTTAAGGGGGATATGTAAGACTACGCCATATTATGACAATAAACCTGGACGCACTTGAATGACGCGCATGTGCGCGTATGGGAGACAAGAAAAAAAAAACACCAGGCACGCAAATCCATGAGATGCAAAAGTGCGCCACAACGCGAGAGCTTTGGGAACATATATGAATACCCGCCAAAGCGGAATGTATTTCTTGCTGTTTTTTCTTCCACTTATTACCGAAAGAGGCTCCACATGAACAAGCTGGTCACGCACGAGCTGGTCTATAAGAGGAAGTTGGTTTAGCAGGAAAAATCTGGTGAAACTTCCTTTTTTTTTTTCCTACTACTGTTGCTAGTTAGTCTGCCGAGCGCGGGCACGGAAAATCCAGAACCGTTCTAGGACACGCCATTCCACGAAGATAACGCAACGCGAATACGTGCTTCCAGTTTCTATTGTGAACGCGCCCAGTCTGGTGACGTCACTGTCGGCTGCCGCCACCCCGGTGAAATTTGTATTCAGCATCGCGTACTTCAGTAGACGAAAATGCTAATTAAAGCTTAGGACAGTTACCTCCTTATGAAACGGCTGCAGCACTTCTTTTTACACTGAAGAAGTTAGACTAAGGGCGCGAGTGTTTGTGCATGCGTTCATTACCATATTGTTCCGTTCTTGTCCGCTAGTTTGCGACGGCAACTGTTACCACATACCATGACTCTCACACTATTACCAGACTCGCACAATGTGGCCAACCTCTTCTCATGTAATGTAAGTAAGAGAAAACCGATACCGCCGGCTGTAGAAAATTTTAACCATAAATCTTGACTTGTATGTCCAGATAGCAGCGACGCTGCACAAATTTGAAGAACACTTGTTATATATATATATATATATATATATATATATATATATATATATATATATATATATATATATATATATTGTAATGATATTAAATAGTGGGGCTCAGGCAAGGGGGCAGGCAGGGTTACGGAAGCAGAGGAAGACGAAGTCAGAATAAGAACAGCCGGCCTGCAGCAAAGGCGTTGTCTCTTATTTCTCGTCG